GAAGAAGATCAAGCCATTGCTGGATATTTTTGGGAAGATTAAGCCATTGCTGAATATTTTGGGAAGAAGATCAAGCCATTGCTGGATATTTTGGATATTGCTGGATATATCCAGCCATTGCTGGACATATTGTGCTACTAAAATCCCCCCCAGTACAGTGAATTTCTCATCTGAGATGATTCCACCACCCAAGAATTTACTGGTGTTATTTACTACAAACCATTAATTTTATTGTAGGAAAGGTCCAGTTTCTGCAGGTGGACGAATCCACAGAGGATTTGGATGTCCCTTAACTCACGACCCTGGAAAAAAGGAAAATAAAGAGATTTTTAAGATGCAGTTGTGCAACCTGAGCAAACACAGGAGCAGGAGACAGTGAAGACATGACATCTACACCAAGTGATGTTACACCAGCCATGAAGGGAGAAAAGGTCAAAAAAGAAACTTTGAAACAACCAGGAGAGAGAAACCTGGAGCCAGGAAAAATGCCAGGGAAACAAAGGCTGCATGGAAAATGATACAGAAGCAAGTAATTTTTTAATGAAAGATTTCAACTTTCTGAATGCACCATTTTTTACATTTTTCCAGTGCACCATTTTTCCATGTTCCTCTATTTTTTTTCCTTCCAGCTGACTGAAACAGGAAGATCCATTTTCCCACCTGAAGGATAAGGAAAAAAAAAAAAATCTTCCTGCTGTTGCTACTACCTGGAAAAACCAACCCCACCAGCAGGAGCCACCTTGTGTCTTGGGATAATTACAGTCAATTAAGAATCTCCATTTTGTAGAAAGTGATGTTTAAAATGCAGAAATCGGATGGATTAACACCTTCTGCCAGAGAAAAAAAATGGGTTTGAAACCACAAATATGAAACAGCACTGACAGGGAGAGATAAAAATCTGCCTTTTGATATTTTATTTTTTTTGATACTTTTTTTTACTGTTTGCTGGTAGAAAGAGGAAACTTGTGAGCAGAGAAGGACTTAAAACTGATTTTTTTTTTTTTTGCTGGTACTTACTGAGAGGAATAGATCGAGATAAACGTATTCAAGGCCAGGGGCTGAGCAGCCCAGTCTGTGGAGCCCCTCAGCTGCAGTGTCTTCATCCAAAACTCCCTCAATCCGACCCTAAAAAACACCAGGAAAGGGGGCAGGGACAGGAATGGATTAAGGGGAGATCCATGGAGCGAAATTCCACACTTGGAAGAGTTTGGGGGCTGCTGGGATGCAACAGGGTTTAATAAAATCCTCAATCGAACGCTGCTTTCAGCACTTCACCACACCCCTGAGGCACTACAAACCAGGAAAAATGAGGAATACAACCCCCAAAAAATTAAATAAAAACAAGCTATTTATCAGTTCTATACATTTGAAAAGGTCCAGCAGGTTTTCTGTGGGGATTTTTACTTTTTTACTTCATGGGTTAAACACACATCTCTACATAGGCCCCACTCCCTGAGATGTTGAGTATCCTGAGGCACTAAAAACCAGGAAAAATGAGGAATACAACCCCAAAAAAGTTAAATAAAAACAAGCTATTTATCAGTTCTATACATTTGAAAAGGTCCAGCAGGTTTTCTGTGGGGATTTTTACTTTTTTACTTCATGGGTTAAACACACATCTCTACATAGGCCCCACTCCCTGAGATGTTGAGTATCCTGAGGCACTAAAAACCAGGAAAAATGAGGAATACAACCCCAAAAAAGTTAAATAAAAACAAGCTATTTATCAGTTCTATACATTTGAAAAGGTCCAGCAGGTTTTCTGTGGGGATTTTTACTTTTTTACTTCATGGGTTAAACACACAGCTCTACATAGGCCCCACTCCCTGAGATGTTGAGTATCCTGAGGCACTAAAAACCAGGAAAAATGAGGAATACAGCCCCAAAAAAACTTAAATAGAAACATGGCATATACCAGTTCTATACATTTAAAAAGGTCCAGTAGGTTTTCTGTGGGGATTTTTATTTTTTTACCCCTGCTTTAAACACACAGCTCCACATAGGCCCCACTCCCAGAGATGTTGAGCATCCCAAGGCTCTAAAAACCAGGAAAAGTGAGCAAGACAGCCCCCAAAAATTTAAATAAAAACATGCTATTTATCAGTTCTATACATTTAAAAAGATCCAGCAGGTTTTCTGTGGGGATTTTTACTTTTTTACCTCATGGGTTAAACACAGAGCTCCACAAAGGCCCCATTCCCAGAGAGGCTGAGTATCCCAAGGCACTAAAAACCAGGAAAAATGAGGCATACAGCCAAAAAGACTTAAATAGAAACATTCCATACTAGCTCTATAAATTTTAAAAGTTCCAGCAGGTTTTCTGTGGGGATTTTTACTTTTTTACCTCATGGGTTAAACACACAGCTCTACACAGGCCCCACTCCCAGAGAGGCTGAGCATCCTAAGGCACTAAAACACAGGAAAAATGAGGAATACAGCCCCCAAAAAAGTTAAATAGAAACATGTAATGTGCCAGTTCTATACATTTAAAAAGGTTCAGCAGGTTTTCTGTGGGGATTTTTACTTTTTTACCTCCTGGTTTAAACAGAGCTCTACACAGGCCCCATTCCTAGAGATGTTGAGCCACAAAATTCCCATTAACATCCCACCAAATCAGCACCAACAGAACCCCAGTGTTGCACCCCAATATGCATATTATGGAAGCCTTATAAATGAGTCCAGCATGAGCAGCCAGTGCTGCTCCTGGGAGAGAAATGTTTGCCAAAAAGGCATTTTGACAGCTGGCACTGAGGAGCCTCTGTGCAGGTTTAATGAGAAAACAAGCCAATGGCTTTTGAAATTCCTAAAAGCCTGGAGGAGCCCCACAACAATTGCTAATCCAGGGACCAAGATAAGTAACGTGATCCTCTAAATTCAAGATAAATAATGTGATCATCTAAATTACAGCACCTCCACGTTACAGCAGTGGGAAGAAGAGAAGCATTTATCATATATTTATAGGTGAAATATGATGTTGCTGTGGGCATTTAGAGCCCAGCAGAGGAGGGATTAAAAATTCACTTGGGTCCAGAGGCTGACTGAATTTCAGGGCTGGGAATTTGAACAGAAAAAGGGTGTTAATTTGGCCATACATGTGCCAGCTTATCCTTAATCTTTGTATACCAAGGGGACTTGGCAATGCTGGGTTAATGGTTAGAACTGGATTATTTTAGAAGTCTTTTCCAATCTAAATGATTCTATGAAAGAAAGAGGGGGGCAATCCAGGAATACCTTGGACACCATGAGACCCTAAAAAAGGTAGAAATGAGAGGCGAGAGAACACAATCCACTCATTCCCCTTTCTTTCCCTCAAATCTCCATCGAGGGATGAGGAGGGAAAGGGCTGTCCCCTCACGAGCACCCCCCTCCCCAGACAGTTGGGCAGCCCTGAGCTGAACCTCTGAGCGCTGTGACTCCTCTTCCCCTTCGCCCTCCTCCTCCTCGTGGTCCTCCTGGCCAGGCGAGCGGAGCTGGGGCTGCTCCTCGGGGCGCCCCTGAGCGAGCTGCTGCGGGGGCTCACGAGAAGGGGTAAGACGCTCCTCGCAGCTGCCGTCTCGGCCGTTCTCCTCGCCTCCCGCCATGAGCCGTGATAAGAAAAGAGGGGGCGGAGGGGCCGCGCTATCGGTCCCGACCCTACTCAGGCTCGGGCGCCGCCATCTTGTTTACTGTCTCGTTGCCATGGAGACGGGGAAGGGCCGCTCCCCCTCAGGGGATGAGCACCGACCGCCCAACCAGCCAATAGAAACGCAGAGCGTGCAGCGGTGCACCATGGGAGTTGTAGTTCGGAGCGCGGCGCGCCCTCGCAGTGTCCGCCGGGCCGCGGAGCATCTTGGGAGTTGTAGTCCGTCTCCCTGAGGCGGCCATTGGCCTCACTCCCCTCTCCCCTTCACAGTGCAGAACAAACCTTGGGGTTTTATATATATATATACACATTATATATATATAAAATATATTTTAATATATATAATGTTTGTATAAAATATGAGATGTTTTTATTATATAAAAATAGATATTTTATAATATAAGATATATTTATATATTTATATAAAATATAAAATATTTTATACAATATAAAATAGTTATTTGTATAATATAAAATATTATATCTTTATATTATATCTTTATATTCTAGTTAGATGATGATGATGATATTCTAGTTATATATAAAATATCATATATCATATCATATATCATAAAATATCATATATTTTATATATCTATATATAAAACAAACCTTGTTTATATATAAATATATAAATAGATATAAAGTGACTTTGTCACTTTAAGGAGATAAAGATGCTCACCAAGGCCCTCTGGCAAAGGCCACAGAGCCTTTACTGCTGCCTTGATACCTGCAGGGGGAACAAAGTGTTTATTCCACATTTTGTTTATTCCACATGGTCAACTATAAAGTAACTGAGACCCTCATATTTCAAGGGGTCATATTTGAGGGGTTTAAATCTAAATTTAATCCCTAAGGATTAAAATGAAGAGAGGACACGACGCCCTCCATGTATGACCACAGTCACCAAAATCCCACCTGTGATTGTTCCATTACATTGGGAAGGGCCAAAAATGGGATAAAATAAGGATTTCAGGGCAAAAATTTGAAGGGGAGAACACCTCTTCTGTTCTGGAATCTGTTGACCTCCATGTCTTTCCTCCTTCCTTGAAGGGAGCTTTGTGCCTCCAACGCACTGGAGCAACCCCAGGAACATTAAATTTATAGATATATTTATATATTTAGCACTAATAGATCTCTGTTTCTATATTTTCTGTCAAAACACGTATTATCAGTACACTGTCATTAGTGCATCTAAAATTTATCATTTATCACTGGCAATCCTGAACCCGCCTTCCTGTTGCTCCAATAAATCGTATTATTTGTGACTCCGGGTCCCAAAAGTTCTTATTGAACTTGGCCAGACCTACCTACAGTATCATAAAATTATGGAATCATTTACATTGGAAAACACCTCCAAAATCACTGAGTCCAACCAGTAATCAATAACCATCAAGGCCACCACTAAACCACATCCCCAAGTGCCACATCCACACGTTTTGTTAACACTTATAAGATTATAAATCGTGCTATTTGTGATTCCACAAGTTTTTCTCAGACCTGACCAGACTTCTAGTGCTGAATTAATTTCATAATTTTACAATCAGAAATTAATTCCGATCTCTGAGAATCAGCTGGAAATCAAAGGGGGTTATTTTCTGCCGAATTTCTATACCCTTAACAATGACAATTATTAACTCCTTCGATAATCAAATAATCTCCAGGGCACCATTACCTTGGTTTCCCTTTTTTTTTTTTGGCTGGGAGGACCGGTGCCATCCATCATTTACACTGGGAATCACAGCCATCTGCAGGAGTGAGGGCCTGGGGCGCTTTCAAAGGAGGAAGGAATGTGTTTCCTTGGGAAAAAAAGTACAATTTCAGAACTGGTGGGGGAGAAAAAAAAAATCTATATTATCATTTTGACAGAAATATTTGGGAAATAATAAGAGATGAGACTGTCACAGAGGGAGAGAAGTAAAATGACAGCTTTTTGAGATCTTTTTGCCTGTTATCCTGGTTTTATTTATCACAAATATCTTGCAGACATCAGTCTGCTCTTAATAGAAGTCTGAAGTAAAGATGCTAAAGGCATTTGAGTTTTTGAGTCTATCATGGACGGGGTAAAATGAGAAGGTAAAGGCAGAAAATAAAGGAGGGGAGGAGGAGAAGATGGGTCAGGATGTCTCCAAATGCAGAGATAAACCCAGGAAGAGCGTTGCTCCATATGATAAAACAATTTAAGGTTGGGGACAGTGGATCTCCAGTATGGGTTGTGACAGTCATGTGAGCCTTGAGTACTGTAATTCTGGGTTTAAACATCACATAATTGCCTTCTCCGTGCTCACAAAGTGACGCCCATCTCCGAACGAGGTGGCTATTGCTGAAAAAAAAAACCAACAAAAAAAGATATAAAAGCTCCCTAATGGACGTCACCCATTGACTTTTATCTGTGTGCTTCAGGGAAACATTATGAGAACTGCAATCGAGCTCCCCCAGCTGACCTTCCTTCATTACCTCACTGGCCATAAATGTTAAAACCCTTCCTGGGATTTATTCCTAACTAAGCACCCCGTCCCTCCTCCCACAGCCTGGGCACACAAGGCTCTTCTCCAGCTACGTGTCCAGGATTCTACTTAGGGATGGGCAGCAAAAGGAAAGGTTGGAAAGCTCAGGGAAAGACAGAAGATCCTGAAAGGGAAGGAGGGATCCTATCTGGGAGTATGTTTTGGGATTTGTTGTGACCCAGGAGAACAATTCCTGACTCGGCAGAGCTATGAGGCCAAGCAGGCTCCCCGGTCAGGGCAGCTCCCTACTGTGCTGCCGTGGCTGTTCCAAGCTTTCATGTTATTTGGGATATTCTCCTTCCCAAATCCACGTGTTTTGTACTCTCCATCAGCAGATTTCATCTTCTGCAAACAGAGAAAGCCACTTTCTGAGGGGAACCCTGCGCTCCCTCGCTGCAGGGTTGTCATCCATCCCCTGCTTCCCTCCAGTGCTGGGGCTCCCTGGGACCACAGGATGTGGCTGTTGGTCACCACGTGTCATCCTGACATCCCAAAAAGTGCTGCCTGGCCCCACCACGCCCCTGACTGTGCCACGGTGGGGTTTCCTTATGCTGCTTCCCACATTTTAAAACACGGGGCGATTGGGTCAAGCCCGCAGGAGGCGGGACGCTTTTCACCCAGGGGAGTTGTGGAAACATCAGCCTTTTAGCTGGAGCTTTTCAGAGGGGTTTGAGAACTCTGCCAGCCTGGAAAACTTGGTGATATGGAAAATCTGTGAGGTTTTAGAGAGGAAAAAAAAAAACAACCTTTATTCAACATCACAGCTTTGGCTGAGCCTGACGACTTGCAGCCACACAGGGATGAGGACCCTGGCAGGACCTGGTGCTGCTCCTGTGGCTTTTCTGTCACTCAGGGCAGAAGGTGGTGACTTGGACCCTCGTGGTTGCTCTGGAGGCCGTGCCATCTGTGGTAGGTGGCAGTGACAGCCACCAAGAGCAGATTTAACCTGGCACAGCCCAGGTTGTGGCTGGGCTTAAATCCCACAAATGGACATATAATATATATAATATATAATACCTACATTTTCGTCCTGTCCAGTGCTGTGCCTTTGCAACCTGGGCAGCCAGACAAACACCTCCCACCTCCCCAGCTCCACATGGTGTCGGGAAGGCAGCTGAGAAGCTTCGGATTCACACGCAGCAGGTTTTTTGGGAAGACGCTTCCCCGAGCTCCCGATCCCTCCGAGAGGCAAAGGCCACGCACGTAATCGAATTAACATCTCCCCGGGCAGCTTGTCCTTGTGAGACAGGGCTGGAGGTTTCCTGGGAACAGATGACAGGGAAAGGGCAGCTCCAACTGAGGTTTACATGGACTGCCACGGAGCTTGGAGCAGGGCCAGCCGGGCTAATGAGTTCTCAGCGTGGAAGCCTCCCAGAGTTTATTTGCTACCATCTGGAAAATGCCCGCCCTTCCACTGGGATTCAGGCAGGAGAAGGGATTATTAAAAGCTCAGAAATGCACTTTTCCTCCCTCCCTGTCCTCCCCTCCCCACCCCGTCTGTTTGGCTTGGCTGGCGCGCTCCGGGATGAAATGGCTCCTTGGAGACCCCTCTCCAACAGGGATGGCAACTGGAAGGAAATCAGCCTTATGGATTTGGGGCCAGAGACAGATTGTTCCTGAACGGGGGCCGTCAAAAAGAGAAGCAGAAAGAAAAAAGGCCTCTGTGGCAACGGGAATTTTGGGGGACCCAGAAAATAGTTGGGAAACGTCACCTCGGACCTCCTCCTTCCAGTGGTCCAGCACAGCACATCCAGCCAGGGATTACCTGGGATATGTTCTCTTCTTTTTTTCCTCTATAAATTCCTAAGCAAGGCCATCCCAAGGGGCTGAAATCTGTCTGTCCATCTCCCTCCAAGATCCACGTTGGGTTTTAAGCTTTCTCAATGATTTGTGCACCTCCCTCTCCTTGTCTTCCACCCCCCGTGCTCCCAGTTTTAGCCCTGGCTTCTCCATGGTCTTAATGGGCACCATTTCCCGGCAGATTTTGGTGTTCACACCCCCCAAAATGTTACCATATCCCCTTGGTTTTCTTATTTCTTGTTCCTATGGTCACTCCTGGAAAATAAGGTTGGCCAGGAATGTTGGAGGAGCTGGAAAGAGCTAATCCTGCACACGAGGGACTTTCAGAGCAGCCCAGGCTGCTCTTCTGAGTGATTCATGAGCACCAGCTCAGTTATTCCCAGCCTCGCATGACACATTCCTGCTCTTCCTGGGAAAAGGAGGATTTCTGGATGCACCAAGGAGGGATAAACCTTTTAGGTCAACGTTCAGTCAGGAGGAGGAGGATGGCTGGTATCCAAGAGGGTGGGAGAAAGGGCAGCCCACCCCATGGCCAGCTTGGATCAGTGAAGTTCAGTGGTTTGAGGTGGACTCAGCCCCAAAAATGTGTCTAAAAGAGCCCCCACTGCTCTCACTTTCTCAAGGTAAAAGCTTAAAGAAGGGGATGGAGCAGCACAGGCAGGTGAGAAGCGACTCCAGCTGTGCTAAGGAATTCATTAATGAACTAATGAACTCATTAATCTGTTGTTCTTGTCATTGGTGAAGGGGCTGATGCAGCACAGAGGGTGAAAAGTTCACCCAAATGTTTGGTCTCATGGCACAG